CCACCCACCCCGCCCCCCCCACTATTTACTTCTATCTAATCCCTAAAATATTCCTTCTGTCCCTTACAGATTACTTCAGGTAATTCCCCCAAATGGTCTTTGTTCCTTACAGATGATCTCAAATTTTAAAGCAAAAACTTCACCTTACCAGTACACTACTGATTACTTCAGTTTGCCTCAACATTTTCTTTCTTTACAGACTCAGAACCCGAGATTTTTCCTACCTGTTACTATTCACTACCTCATTTTACCTCACAATGCTCCTTCTCTCCCCACACAACCTCAAGTTTTAATCCCAAATTTTTCCATGCCCATCTGCTAATGACCACCTCATTTTTACCTCGGGATTTTCAGTCTCTCCTCTATGAGTTAACTCACATTTGAACTCTCAAACATTCATTTTTTCCCTATAGATTACTTCTACTTTCCCACCAAGACCCCTCACCAATTACCTCTACCTGTGTACCACTCCAGATTACCTCAGTGTTTTCCCCTGAAATTTTCCCTACCTGTCCAGTACTTTTTAACTCCATATGTTAAATGTTGTTTTCTCTCCTCTACACATTACCTCAATTTGACCCCTAAAATTTTCTGTGCCTGTCCACTACTGATTCCATCTGTTTACCTCAAAATGTTCATTCTCTACCCTGGAGCTTATCTCAGTTTTTAGCCACAAGTATTTCCCTCATGTGTGCTACTGATTACCTAACTTTTAACTCCAAATTTTCATTTACTCTGCTAGAGGTTATCACAAATCTCACCAAGGTTTTCCCTACCTGCCTCCACTTTTGATTTACCTCAGTTTTACCTCAAAATAATTATTCTCTACCCTAGAAATTATTTCAAGTTTGACCCTCCAGTATATCACTACCTTTGTGTTGCTTATTACCTCCATTTACCTTGAGATGCTCATTCTCTCCCCTAGAGATTGCCCCAGGTTTTATCCTCAAAATATTCCCTCTGTCCACTTCTGATGAGCTCATTTCCCCCTCAAAATCTCCACTCTCTGTCAATATAGAGTACCTCAAGTTTACTCCCAAATGATTCCCTCTGTGACACTGCTGATTACATTGTCTTTCCCTCTAAATATTCATTCTCTCCCCCAGAAAGCACCTCAAGCTTATCCCCCATAAATTTCCCTTCCTTACTCATTGCCTCAATTTTTACAATAAATCGATCACTCTCTACCCTCAAGATTATCCCATGTTTTACCTCCCAGATTTTCTTTCCTGTACACTATTGATTTCCTCTTTTTCACCCCAAAATGAGCATTCTCTCCCCACAGCTATTCCCTCAAAATGCCACTCACTCCCCTCCACATCCCCTCACACTTTCCTACACAAACACATGTTGGGTCCCCTCTAAATTACAGCAGGTTCTCAGCCAAAATAATGTCACCTCTGTCCCCTCTAAGTTATGCCAGGTTTTCCCAGCTCAGAGCTGCAAAGAATTCAGGCAGCTGAAATGACATCAGGGAATAGCTGTAAACAGATTTTACCTAGGCTTTAACCTCCCAAGTTTTCATTGTACCTTACTTCAGAGCAAACCCAAAAACTCCCCTACCTGGACACTGCCGATTACCTGGACTGACCTCAAAATGTTCATGCTTTCCCTTAGGTGTTACCTCAGATTTTACTGACAATCATTTTCCTCAAAAAGGCCATCTGGCTCTTCTCTACCTGAGATCTCCTCCAGCTTCCTCCCAAAAACATTCCTTACCTTTTACTGACTTCCTCAATTTACCTATAAATGTACATTTGCTCTGCTAACAATTATCCCAGATTTTACCCCCAAAACTTTCCTTGCCTTTCACACTTACAGGTAAACGCTGACCTTACCTGGATCAGTCTTAAATTTGGCCCTGACTGATCTTTGGCATGGTCCCTGCCCAGAGCTGAGGGAAATTTGACCTAAAAGCAATAAATAACCTTTGCTGAGAGCTGTCCACACCCCTGTCCTTCAGGCTGTGCAAGATTTTGTAGTGAGGAGACCCAAATTTGAATTCTAAATCTCAATTTCTGTCAGCTTTCTCTGGAAAGATACTTGACAGGAAGTCATACAGCAGAATTAAAAGGCTACACAAGGAAAAACAAAAGATCTTCCATGAATAAGGAGAAGTTCCTTTTTTTCCTCATCTGTCTGGGACTGTAGGACTGAATCTTTGCAACCAAAAGACAGCACAGTTGTTATTAATACTTAAACCTTTCAAATATTGCAATTTCTCAGAGAACTCTTCTGTCTTTAAGCTACTCCCACATGCCTGGAATGGTTTTGGGAATGGCAAGACAACATCCCACTTATGTTTGGAAAAATATAAGATAACATAATGTAATTTCACTTCTTTCTCTGACCCATAAGCAAAGTGTGTAGAACAACACAGACTATTCAGCTGGGGGGGAAAAAAGCAAAACCAAAAAAAAGCCCTAAACAAATAAAACCACCCCACATTTCAAGGTGAAGACATGTTGTTTCCTTAACAG